TATAAATTCAGATACATACACACTTACATGGCATGGTTTATATAGTCTCTACAAATAAAATGATTCAACTGAGTCAGAGACATAATAAAGAAAAAGTAGCTCCAAAGTTGAAACCAGAAAACCTAATCTGCCCTAGCCCTTGTGACTTTTGGCTGTGAAATTTGCAAGATATCACTTAAAGTTTATCACTGCAATTTCTGAAGAGAAGAAAGTTATTGTACCCCATTTACAAAAAGCTTGTAGCCTGTGAGTTTGTGAAAACCGGATGATTGCCTGTCTTCATGTCATGTCAAGACATCATAGTTCTATTCTGGTCTAATTCAATGCGTAACTGTTCTTGAAGGAACAGAGTGACTGGACTTTGCTGGACTTCTGTGTTTTAAGGAAATGCTGATGGATGGATAGATGAGTGCATGTGTAGAAGTATAAAATTATGGAAAGTAAGAACAAAGTGGTATTAGAGAGGGGAATCTCAAGTGTTCGTTTCACAGAACGTTGGATATTCACATCATGAAGCAAGGGTGTTACCTTTGAATTAGAGGTCTTGTATTCTATTGATGTTAACTACCATAAAGAATTTATGTATTTATGGAGAACTAAATGAATAAAGAGTTGAATGTTTTGACTGAGAAAAGTAGTTTATTTATAAACTTTTTGACTAAGAAATCTGTTAAAACCTGTTTGGGCAATTATTTCATATGTGTCTTTCTAGATAATATGGTTTTAAAAATAAATTGATTTTATAAGGTTAATGTAGGTGTGTTGAAACTTGATTGCTTTCAATTTTTAGAAAGATTTACTCAAAATATTTGATACATTAGCTATATATAATTAGATAGTTAGATACAGATAAATGTTTCAAAGAAAATGTCTTGAAAATTCTCAGTATTTTAAAGGAAAACTCTGAGCAACATGAAAACCCTTTTCACTTCTTCCTTTCCAGCTAAACATGTGTTTCCTCCACTTGCCTATTTTAAAACAAAAGGGTATTTAAATATTCAAACTAAAAATAAATTGCATGATTAATACCTTGCTGAATAGCTTTGTCTAAGTATTGTCTTTGTGAAAATCATGTGCAGATACGTGTGTATTTCTAAGATTAGTAATAACTTACCTTTACACCTGGATTTTGGTTCTGTATTGTATGGGATTATGTCTAAGTTAATGTAAGTGAAGATTAATCAATTAATATTTCTTGAGTATCTCAAATATTCAGATTCTCTGACACTCTAGGATGAAAATAATTTTTGTGGCCTAGGAAATGATTTTTGTGGCCTACAGGGATAATCCCGGCATGAGCAGAGGCAGCCACAACACCAATAACTGCATTTATGTGAAAAAGTTTAGAATGTTTTGGGTAGCTGCTGGGTTAGGTTAAGTGATTTTATAAATCTCTTATTTAGCAGGAATATTTGCAAATTTGAAATTCAATGAACTGATTTTGTTACCTAAAGTAATATCAAATTTTAAACACAAAAATCTAGAGAGAGACATTAGATCCCTTGGGGTTATGGAAAAAATTTGGTTTGGATTTAAGGTAAAAAATAATTGAGCAAGTAAATGTATGAATTATAGAAATCTTAGAACATCATTCTGTTTCAAAAATGTAGAAGTACCATTATTTACAAATAGGCAATGAATTTTATAATTTGAGCTGTATAGTAATTTATCAGTTTCCATAATCAGAATAACATTATTACTTTTACACATGACATCTTACAGTAATTTAAAATGAAGATGTCAAAATGGTTTTATGACTATTATAAACTGTAAGTATTTTCACAATTATTTTGTATCCTGTGTCTAAGTTTAGTATTTGTTCATATTTTTATTTGCCTGTTAGTTACATGAAGATTATTTTCTGCAGCATTACATATAATACAAATACATGCATTGATGTTCTTTCCAAGATAAGTGAACATGACGTCTTGAACTTAAAACCTATATATTTATGCACTTCTATGTCACTATCATTGTTATAACAATCAAATAGAGCCTTTTTCTTCTCAAGAAGGAAATTCAAAATACAAATAAAGAGCACAATAAAAGATACATAATAGGAAATAGGGAGATTTCTTGTTTCTCAAACAAGAAAAGGATCAAGAGATGGCAGGAAAAGAAAGAGAGTAGAGGGAAGGGAGTGACCCAGGAATAAAGATGTGTCGTGTGTGTTTACCCACTACACACGCAGAATGTAAATAGTGTTATGTACTGCAAACCTGTCCTAATAAAAGATATTAAAAAGGAGAGAACAGAATGTCATCCTCTATTAATGGAGATGATTAATTTGAAGATGATATAGTAGGAATATTTAGGGACTAGTATTGCCACCTTCTTGATCGTTCTTTCCAGTTTGGTCCATGTGCTGTGTGAGTGAGTGAGGAGGGGGAAAGAAAATCATGGGGTGTGAAATAAAACTGACAATGAATATGTTTCGGAGGAGCTGGGTGCTGTGTCATCCTGTTAGTGATACTGTGATGAATGTTGCATTTGATCAACTGTATTGTTATAGAAGCCAATTCAAGAATTTTATATTGAATTATTTGGTAATCTGTATTATTATAAGGTTGAGTAGGTGATATTACTGCGACTGTTAGAAGTGTACAGAACTTGTTTTGTGTTGTTATTTTTGTTACACTTTATGGTACCGGTGATCAAACTCAGACATGCTCTTCCACTGAGCTATGTCTCCAGAATTTTTATGTTTTGTTTTAAGACCCAGTCTTACTAAATCACTCAGGTGGAACTGGGAATTGCAATCTCCCTGCATCCTCGCTGAGGCTCTTCATATGAAACTCAGAAGAGTTTTTCAGAATGCTTCTTTCAAAACAAACAAACAAAAAAAATGCTGCATGCCCTTTTTTTGGTTCTACGTCAAATTTGAAATGACTTTTTGTGTCTCAAAAAGAAGTAAGTAAATAACTGGGATTTGAAATGTTGGCTAAGATTTTCTGCTCATTGGTTATGCTTTTGCAACAAGATAAACTGTTCCTTCCATGTCGCTCTTTGTTGTGTACAGAAATATGAGCTGTTGCTTTTGCACATTTCTTTTCAATATATCTTAATGCAGCGTGGAATGACTAACTTCATATCATTTCTACAGGTTTCTGCCATTTATTAAGCCATGTTTAAAAATTAAGGCAATGTTGAGTGTTCTGTCAGGCAATGGTGAACTGATTCCACTAAAAACATAATTGCTAATACTCAGCAGATGTCAGCAACATCATCTGCTAGAAAACAAAGTTGGTTACAGATGTTTTCTAAAAGCCTCACTTAGAATTCCTGACAGGCTAAAACATCTCTGTATAAATGTACAACAGTTCTTAGATTATTTGGTTCAAAATGAATTGTCTACTTCAGCTCTAGCTATGGGAAATATATATCACATGCTAAAAAAATATGTGTGTGTATCTGATCCTCATAGTGTTAGATTTCAGTGTATGATTAATCCAGATCTGTGTATTATCACATACTAAAAAGTCTTCATAAAAATGAATTTAATCAGCAAGACAAGTCTATATATTATCTAAATGTTTTTATAAAATATTAATCTCAAAAGTATAGCTCTGTTTCAACAATGATAGGTAAGGTAAAATTAATATATTGGTACTTTTATATTTGTATAGGCATATTCTTGTCTTACTTGTCATACTCATGTGTGTATACATGAACCTCAAATCTTTCTACAAGTTTCAGTGTACAGCATTGTTCTTATTTGTAGATCTTATGCTGTGCATTAATTCTGTAGTCTTTTGTACTAACAAACCCAAGTTTAAGCCCTCTGACCTGTATCTCCCTAATTCTATTCCCCTCCTCTGTTAGCAACCATTTTATATTATCTGTTTCTGTCATGTTGACTTTTAGATTTCACATAAGTAAAATTATGTTGCAGTTTTCTTTGTCTGGCTTATTTCATCAAGTACAATGTTGTGAATTACAGAATTTGAATTAAAAAATAAAATGTTAGCATTTATTGAGAACTTAAACTATGTCATTTCTGCAACTTACTTATGGTTAATATGTATTACACATACTACTCTTACAGGTAGATACAGGATTATTATTGTTATATTTTAAAAATGATGAATGTGAGACTTAGAATTCAGTACCTTATACAAGGTTATATACTTAACAAGTATAGGAGGCAAGGCTTGAAATCAAACAATTTGGTCTGGAAACTCTGTTTAACCAATATATTTTGAACAGCCAAACAGTACTAGTAGGTCACATTATCATATCATCATTAATATTCTATGTCTATGAATAGTGGCTTACCTATCAACTTGGATCTGTGTTAGTTCTTTGAGATAATTCTTCTCTCTTTCTACATTTTAGATATTTGTGCATCTCTAAATTAGTGTTGAGTTCATGATTATAAATGGTAATAAAGTCCATACTGAAGATATAACAGTGTAGGTTTGATTCCTCAGCATAGAAAAAAAAAGTTAAAGAGAGAGACACAGAAACAGAGACAAAGAGACACAGACAGAGAGACAAAGAAGACAGAAACAGAGAGAGAAATGAAATCGTTACTCACACAAAAGGGGTAGGAGAGAGGCAGAAATGAAATAAAAACAAGAAATTAATATCATAAAAGATGTATGATTCCTATATATTCAGTGAACTGGACCACAAAAGTTTTCCTGATGTTAACTCCTCTTATTCAGAAAGGATTTCCCCAAATGTGAATTCCTCAGTGTCTTGTAAGACACTTATCAGCATCTCCAAACCTATTTGTACCTGTGACGTTATCTTTCCTGTGTTTTTCCTTCAATAATAATACTTCGTTGTGCTATTCATTATTTGTGTTCAGAAGAAATAACTATACTCCTACTCAGGTATGACACTGCTCCAGCATAACATGTTTCAGTAATAAATAAAGTTTGTGCTTTAATTGAAAGCATACGTTTTTGAAATATAGAAGTCTCTTTGGCATAGATCCAGAGGGCATGACAGAATATTTATGATATTGTTTAATGACAACATTCGCTTCTTTCTAGGAGCAATTTTTGATGAATCTGCCAAAAAAGATGACGAGGTGTTCCGCACAGCAGTTGGCGACCTCAACCAGAATGAGGAAATCTTACAGACTGAAAAAATCACATTTTCAGTGACATTTGTGGATGGCAACAACCCGTTTCAAGCTGTCCAAGAAGGTAAGGTCTGTCTTTAGTCCACGATTTTGTTTTAGATGTTGCTGGTTGCTTAATTAAAATGGCAGTGATAGTAGACCCTTAAAAAGCCATTAAGTATGAGGATCGTATTTGTGTCTTTGCTATTACCTGAGTGTTTCTTTCTGTGGATTGTGCTGTTCTGCAAATGTATTCCACATTTGAGAGTTCAGAAAGTAGAAAGTCATTGATTTAATTGAAATGTACTATGAAAATGGGCATAAATTCTTACCATGAAAATCTTTGCCATAGTTTAATGACTTCAATGGAAATGAAATATTCCTTTAAAATGTACTTTGCTGTCAGAAGTTTTATGTGGGGGTTCTCTGGGAAAATTGCCACCTTGAGTGCTGTTACAACTTTCAGTGACATTTCATGTGTTCTCATGACAAATGTATTGCTGCAAGGAAAATCTTTAGACACTACATATAAATCAAGGATTTTGTACTGGGATCCTAATATACTGACATGGGCTATAAAATTTTTGCTTTCTACAAATTTCCAAAAATTAAAGCGATCTCCTGTATTCTGTCTTACTGTACAGTGAAATAAAAGATTTATTGGTACAAAGTAATGCAAATAGAAGTGATTTTTTATTGGAATGGTCATTGGCATGAATTAAGACTTTGGAAAAAAAATTCTGAGGTCACCAGAATTCTGTTTTATGCTAATAATTGAACATATTAGTTGCCTCTCATTTGGAAAGTACTCATTCACAGAACATTTTGCTGAATACTGTTTTCTGAATATTTATGTTCATCTGAAGTTATGTGCTGAAACACCACTCCCCTTGCAGTGATAGTGTAAAGAGGACCCTCAGAAGCCGTCACCTCCTGAAGGCTCTGCCTTCAAGAGTGTGATTATTGCCTTCATGGAAGAGGCCAGGTTTGGGGGGGGCATATTCTGAGTTTGATCTTGTGATACTAACAGGGAGTTCTGCACTAGTGTTTTCATGGTCTGGCCTGGGTAATGATGCTGAAATAAGTTCTAGGAAATAATGTAGTTCTCCATTTAACATCAAGAAGGTATTTGGTTAATTTTAGACTTGAAAATAATTATTTCAAAAACTTTTTTATATTGGCCTAAAGAAGGGACATATTCCACTCCAAAGAGGACAAGGAACAATTCGAAATCATTATTTCTTGCATATTGTAAGTAAAGTAAGGGAGAATCTTAAATGTGTCATCAAAATGGTCATTATTTATGATCATGCATTTAATGCAGTACCATTAAAATCTGTAAATGACAGCTTCTAAAAATCACCTTTCTTTTTTAAGTATAAAATGACACAGCAGGTCCGGGGACTTAACTCAGTGGCTTAAGTGTCTGCCTGGTAAGCACAAGGTCATGAGTTCGATCCCTGGTCCCCTCCCCTCAAAAAAAAAAATAAATAAATAAAAGACACAATATAGTCAATGTATAACTAATTGAGTACACATTAGTATTGTTAATGAACATACAGAAAATTCATGATTTTAATTACTCCACGTCTCTCTATTTCAATTTGAACTTCTAGTCTTGGTCAAAAGCATCATCAAGTATATAGATGTTTGCTAATGATACTAAATGATAAGATCAATCAACAGCTCATTATATGAAAACAAACAGTATAAAATTTCATTTATTTTGTTGTGAATTTCATCCAACTAGTACTACATAAGAATTGAATTTTTTAGCAATTTTTTCCTTCCTGTTGTCAACATTTAATAAACAGAGAGGAAGCATTTGAATAATAGCTTGTTTAACCTGTAGTCTAGCGGTGCCCCATCTTTTTTCACTAGTTTTGTGAAAGGCACGTCTTTCCACAGGTGCAGAAGTGGGTTGTGGGGAGTGATGGTTTCACTGTGATCCAGAGAGCTGTGGCACCCACTTCTCCTGCGTGCACCATGCTCTGTGGGGTTCATATTCTTTTGAGAATGCAAAGCCTCAGTGGATCTGACAAGAGGTGGAGCCCAGCTGGTAACGTGGCAAGGTTCCTCCCAAGCTCATGTAGGCTGCTCACCTTTCTGGTGTAGCCTAAGGTTAAACCCTATGTCCAGACAGAACTGATATTACTTAAATTATCTTTTGTAAATGTCATAGTATATTTTGGATAGCAGTCATTGTTTTTAAGGTTATTTTCCTGAAAGATTCATCTGTGTTATATTATTCTGCTAGCATTCAGTTCTCTGCAGATTGATGACTGCTGTTGATATTTCCCATATCTTGCAATATTATCTTACACTATGCAAATAAAAGAACATTAGAGACAAAAAGTCTGTTTTCACAAGATTAGTCTAGAAGTACACCAACTGTTTTTAAGATAATTATGTTTTTTATTCTTTGAATAGATTTTTAGATAAGCCTTTTTTACTTCTTGCTTTCTTTTTTTCTCTTCTTCTTCTTCTTCTTCTTCTTCTTCTTCTTCTTCTTCTTCTTCTTCTTCTTCTTCTTCTTCTTCTTCTTCTTCTTCTTTTTTTTTTGATACTGGCGATTGAACTCACAACCTTGCCCTTGCCAAGTAGGTGCTTGTGCTGCTAAGCTATATCCCTAGCCCCAAGCTATTATTCATTTCTATGCTTCCTTGTCCCAAAGGATTTTTCATACCTTAACTTAGGAGGTTTCTTTTTGGTGATTCTTTCTTCTTTTTTGCAGAATAGTTTGGTAATTAGGAGGCAGTATTTTTTCTGTACAAGGTATGTAAAAGAAAAAATCACCAAGGCTATTTTAAAATATAACTAGATAGCTATATGGATAAAATGTTTTATAAGACTATTTGAATATTTTCACTGTATAGATGAACTAATTGAGAGACAGACAGGTTAGCTAGCCCTCATAAATTATTCTATGATCACAAGGCATCTGTATAGCAGGAAAATAACTAATGTAGAACATTCAGGACCCTGGTTAAGTATATTTCTCACGTCACGTATTAGTTGACAGTGCATGCACACACATATATGATTGCATACATCTACATATTTTGGGTCAATACTATGCATGCTTTACTTCAGAAAGTACTGGAGGAAATGAAAAAGTAGCAGAATCTATACTTTGTTTTTGCTACTTGATATAAAATGTTTATATTCATATTATGGAATAGGAAAATTCCAATCTGAGTGATAAATTCCAATCACATCTTATTTTCATTTTTTTAGTGGTTAGGCTTATTTATTTATTTTTATCTTATTAGCACATATTTATAGTACTCAGTCTACAGCTACCTGGGGGTTTACATATACATACTGCAGCTCATGTCTTTTTTTAATCCTTGCTTCTTCCATCCACTGTCCCTCCATCAACCTCTCCCCTTCCTCCTCTAATTCCTCTATTCTGATTTCCATTCTTGTTGATTTTATTAATGTTAATTCATGTTATTGTATATAGTGTTGACATTTACTGAGGCTGTTGGATTCCCGCACAGGCTTATCTTTTTTCCTAATTATTTTCCCTTCCTCTCCTCACCACCCCTCATCCCTGTTCCCTGGGACCACTTCCCTATTGCAAGAAATCCTTCCGCTTGTCCCTGCCTATCCTTCATTTATTATTCTCTTTCTTTATACTATGCCTCTGTCAAATGAGAGATGCCATATAGCATTTAAACTTTTGTGTCTGCTTTATTTCACTCAACATTATATTTTTCAGGTGCGTCCATGTTCCTATGAATGTTTCAAATTTGCCATGCCTTTTAGCCAAGAGTATTCCCTTATATATTGATATCACATTTTCTTTACCTAGTTGTCTGTTGATGGCTACACAGGCTGCTTCCAGGATTTAACTGTTACAAATTGTGCTGCTTATAAACATCGATATCCACATATCATTGTGGTGTGATGAATTGAGCTCTTTTCGGAGGATAGTTAGCAGGGGAATAACTGAGTCATAGAGATTTCTGATTTCAATGTTTTCAGGAATCTCCGTACTGATTTCCATCATAGTTGTAGTAGTTCAGGTTGTCCGCAACAATGAATGAGGCTTCCACAGCCATAGCAGCATTCGTTAGTGATTTCTTAATGATAGACAGTCTTTCCAGAGAAAGATGGAATCTTAGTGTTGTTTCAATTTGTATTTTTTTAGTAGCCAGAGATGTTAAACATTTCTTCATGTATTTGTTGACCATTTCTTCCTCTGCAAAATGTCTGTTAACTTTGAATATATGTACTAAAGTCCACCCTTTTAATATATGTATTGTCATATGTATGTATTAATATATATTAAAGATTTTCAATATATGTATTAAAATTAAATGGTTCTATTTAATTAAATATTTTTGATATTACTCCTTTGTTTGAGGAATACTGGTAAAAACTTTTTTTCCCATTTTGTAGATTTTTTTTTTTTTTCATTTTACTGATTGACTCTTTTGCCATGCGGATACTTTGCAGTCTGATATAATCCCATTTGTTGATTCCTGCTGTTATTTCTTGGGCAATTGAGGTTTTGTTAAGAAAATCCTTTCCTACACTTATGTCTTAAACTGTTTTACCTATTTTATCTTCTGGTAGGTTTAATGTTCCTCTTTTGATCCATTTTGATTTTAATTTAGCAAATGGTGGGAAACAGAAGTGCCGTTTCAATCTTCTGCTTATACATAACCAGTTTTCCCAGCACTACTCGTTTAATAGCTTTTGTTACAAACTCTAATGTGCATTGAGCAAAGCAGTCAACTTACTGGAGTCAGTGTCTGATATATATTGAAATATTTATATGGTTTTTTTACTGAAGCATATCCATGCATTTTGTCTGCATTTTTTGGTAGCTCTATATCTATTAAGTCCATATGTTCAGTACTGTGATTTAGCTCTGATATTTCTTTAATGATTTTTTTTATTTAGTTGGTCTGTCTTTTTATGAAGTAGGGATGTTAAATACCGTGTTAGTGTTTATCTGGTTATTTAATTTCAGCAGTTTTTGTTTTATGAAGATAAGTCCACATTCAGTCTTGTTGGATATTGGGTCTTAACGTAGATCCTCGATCTCCCAAACGAGTGTACAGTTTTAAATAA